TTTTTCCAAAAATAAGTTATGGATTTATTGACAAAAAAAATTTATTCTAAATATCACTAAAGATCATAGATTAAAAACAAATCACTAGTGATATACTATTGAAAGCACATAAAGTAGTACAAATATTTTTGAAAACACACTCAGGTGTCGTTTGGGAAGTGGGTTGACTTTTTTGGCTTTTCGACTTTTTTGGCTATTTTAGCCTGGGCAAAAAAGCTTGGTTTGGGAAGGGCTTTTTGATTTTTTGGCTTTTTTGGTTTTTTTTTTTTTTTTTTTTTTTTTGAGAGAAGAGTGTAATGATTATGAGTTGGATGTGATGTTTTATTTGTTGTGGCTAAAATAGTCTATTTTGTCTTTTGTGGCTAAAATAGCCAAAACCATTTTCCCAAACGAGACCTCACTAAGGCATATAAACTAGTCCATAAATCAATAAGAACCAACTACCTCTCAAAAAACATTGCAACCACCACCTTAACAAAGTGTTTTAGACTCTCTATGGCGGTGCTTTCACCAATTCTCACATAATCATCCACTGAATCTGCTACTACTCCATAAGCGAGCATCCTCATAGCAATTGTCATTTTTTTGAAGGGAAGACAAACCAATGATTCCAACAGCATCTGTTTTCTGGACAAAATATGGATCGTATGCTTCCACAGTAGATAGAATATGAAGAAAGAGAGATCGATTCATTCGGAATCTCATCCTGAATAAATGGGTAGGATATATGTCTGTTTCTAAGAAATAGTCTCGATAAAGTCTCTCATGGCCTTGAACTCGATCACGATAAATAACTGCATGGCCTTCAATGGAACCACTACGTCTTCTCGAGCATCTTTCTCTATTGAGTCGCTCTTCTTCCACTGCAGCTATTGTTATTAGCTGCAATTCGTCATCACTGTCATTAAGAATCATTTTCATGGTATTGCGAGCCATGGTAATTAAAAAATGAATGAGTTTGAGAAATATAGTTCAAATTGGTAAAAATGAAAGAGCAAATCCTTTTTATAAACAAAAATATATGACCATTAGGAATATGTCAGTTACAGAATATTACTGTTAGAGAATAATACCATTTGAAAATATGACCGTTGAGAGAATATTACCGTTTCAAAATATGACCGTTGAGATAATATGATTGTTTGAAAATATTTTTTTATAAATAATTTAATTATATATTTTAAATAAATAAATATTTGCAAATGCCACCTCAATATATGCAACATGTCATAAAAAGATTATTTATTTATTTATTTATTTATTAATGTTTATAATAATTTTTTTTTAAAAATTAGTTAAGTTAGTTTGATTTGTTAGCTAAAATAAAGAGTATGGTTGGAGTATGCACTAGCTAAACTAGTTAGGCAAAATAAAGAAAGTAGTTTTCTGTGTACTTTGAAGAAGCATTTTAGAGAGTATGGTTGGAGATGCTCTTAAATGCCCATCTCTATTCTTCCAACTCAAATCCCAACCCCAACCCCAACCCCATCTCCATCTCCACCTCACCGGCGACCACCCTCACACCACCTCTTACCACTGCGACCGACGACCTCCCTCCCACCGAAGGCAAGGTTCAATTCAACAGGGAAACAAAAAACCCTTTCGAAGCTCTTATCTTCTCGCTCTAAGCATTGATTCACATTGTTTTCTAGAGAGAAAAAGAAATATTAGTGAAGAAGGGTACAAAAATAGTGGTGTCACTAGGTGTGTTTTGGAGCTTCTTAGCCGGCGATACATCATTGTTGTTGTCTTATCCACGGATCGGTCTTCAGTCAGTTCCTCTATCTCAGGTTAACCTACACTCTGTGCGCACGGTAACCTCCTCCAACGCGTCGAAGCTGGCGGACCAACCCCACGGACGACCACCCTCCCACCGACAGACCAACTTGTAATCAGCGCTAAGAATGCAAACCCAGATCCTAAGCGAGAGCACAAGCAAGGAACGTCACGTCGTCACTGCGCCACTATGGTTGACTGCCGGGGTGGTGATGGTTGATTGCCAGTGAGGGATGGGGGTTTCAGCTTGTCAAAGCTCTGTAGTAAAACTGTAAAGGAAAATGATGAATGTAGCATTTTTGTTGGGGGTTTCAAAGAATGGGGGGTCTTAAAAAGAAAAAAGGGTAAATTACATTGACACCTCTTGAGATTTATGTTTATTACAGTTTTCTCTTTTATCTTTTGAAAATTACATCTCCCTCCCTGAGGTTTAAAGTTTCATTATAGATTACCCCCTAAGGTTTAAAGTTTCATAACAGTTCCCCCCTCACCATAATGATCATCATACATAAAATTAAATTAACAGGGGGGTCAGTGTAATTTTTCAAATATGAGGGGGGAACTGTAATAAAGATAAACCTCAAGGGGTGTCAGTATAATTTACCCAAAAGAAAAGTAAGGGTATTTAATAGCCTTCTTAAATAATGATTGTTTATCATTTAACGAATATGATAATTTGATATTTATTTTGATTTTCGAAATTTTAAAACATCAATTTTCAAATTAAATTTTTTTTTTAAAAAAATGTCCAAATAAAAAAAAAATCTAATCAGCTTGTTTAGTTCCTATTTCAGGATTCACTCTTAAGAAAGATTAAAATTTATTATTTTTCGTATTTTTTTTGTTTTTACTGAATTTTTTTAATATTCTAAGAATTTTTTTTTTAATTTTTAGATATCAAATATTTATATATAACAAGCATTTAGCACAATTTTTTTTTGTATTCTTGTGTATTTATTATTTTTTAAAATATTTTATTTTTTAGATACATCTAAGTAAGGTACATTCAAAAAAAATATAAATAAAAAATTATTTAAAATTTTAAAAATATTTCCTAAAAATTAAAAAAAAATATATGAAAAAATAAAAAAAATTCAATTTTTAGAAAATTGAAACTAAACACACTTAATGTTTTTTTTTGAAAATATTGAAAAAACTGAATTATTTTTTGTACAAAATTGAAAATTTTGTGTCTGTAAAAAAGCATGATGATAGAACATTGATGTGCAAAACTAAAAAAAAAAAAAATTAAAAATGAAAAATTGATAATATTCTCAGTTTTAAAACTGAAAAAAAATGTTAATATTCTTGATTTTATTTGATAGTTGAATCAAACAAATAAGTAGAAGAGCAAAAACGTTTAATCTCATGCTCTGTTTTTTGTCATCAGTTAGTGAAATAATTATTTAAAATATTACTATGCAAAATTGATAATGTTCTTAGTTTTAGAAATTGAAAAAAAACTAATATTTTTAACTTTACTAAATAGGACTTAAAGGTTCAAAAAAATCTTAAATAGGATTTAAGCTACCATGACATTTGTTAATAGAATTTTTATATAACTAACTCTACTATAAATTAAGCAAATTCAAATAAGATACAACTTAGAAAAGAAGTGCATGAAAGCAGATAGATAATCACTTAGACACATACCTAACAAATTTTTGAAATTTTTGTAATCACCTGGCACGTTTCAATCTGTATGAACAAATAAATAATTCAAAGTATCTAAGATAACGGGCTAGAGATTGAAGTAAAATGGAGTTTTCAAACAAATTCCCTTTCATGTGGTGGAGAGAGTGAAAGCGAGAGTTACGATGAGAGGCCAATTTTCCCTATTCTTGGAACCAATATTGATAGAGTAATTGTTTTAACTACTCTTGAAATTTCATTTGACATTATTTACATTGCTTTCAGTTAATAACTAGTGGTCACCCGTGCGATGCACATGATTTTAGAAAGTCAATAATTACTATAAAAAAATTTGTTATTTGTTTATATTTCTTAATATTTTTATTTGGTTTGTGTATATAAATCTTATTTCACATCATTAAAAATATTTAATATTTCACATTATTGAAAATTTTAAAAAAGTATCATACATTAGATTGACTCGTAATATTTTTTATTTAGTTATTTTTTTTATCTTTTATTTGACTCTTTATATTATTTTGTAGTTGAAATTTGAATAGTTATCTTTTTATTTTATTTATTTTATATTTTTATCTCTACCTCTTTGTTGTTCATATTTAAATATTTATCATTTTATTTAAATATATATAATCCTTTTGGCTTTTGAGATTTAGATAATTGACAAATGATTAAAAATTAGGAAAAGTGGGAGGGGAGACTTGAAAAGTGACACGTAGGAGAGAGAATCCATAAGAATTTAGTATTAAGAGTTTGGAGAATTCTCATACTCCACTACATTTGTTTATATATATAGTATAGATAGATAGATTATGAAAAAAATTGTACAAGTAAGATAATGACTTACTTCTTAAAATAAATTGTCGGTAGCTACTTAATTTCACATTTTCTCGGATGAAGATCCTCTCCAGTACTTTTTTCGTCCAGTCATCATCCAACACTTGATCTAAAAGTCACAAAATATATGATAATAACTAACTATTGAATTGTGAGTTTGATCCAGCGCTAGACGATAATTAGACGAAAAAAGTGTTGAAAATGAGATCTGGTTGTGGCTCCATTTGTTCCATTAATTTGGGCCTCAAAAATCCATTTTGAGGACTAGACTCGGAGGCCCATAATACAAAAGGGCTTGATTTGTGGACACTATAATATAGTCTAGGCTCATGGGCTCAGCCCATGTTGCCCCTATGTGTTGCCTTGTGATGAGACAACTTTGTTCCGGAATAACTTTCATAACCGGACTTGTATCATATGCATTCCAGGTTTGTACAAATTCTAAATTAAGGGTTATGATACTGCTAATCAGTTCCAATCAATTTTTAAAAAATAAAATATTTTCATCATTGCATGGACCATGACCCTTGTGTGAACATCAAAAGAGTTCACACCTCATCGTGTCTCTCTTTGCATTTTTTATTTTAATTTTTTGTGTTTGTAACAAAACTTACGTGATGACATCAAAGAGGCTATTACAATGTCATAATATGGGATTGAGGATTCCTCCTCCTAATCCAAAAATATATATATACAAAATGTCACACTCAACATAGAAATTGGATCAACACAAGAAGTTGCCAAATAAACTTCTTTTTCCCCAACTAAACTTTACCATTTCTATGTACTCGATCATTTCATCCATCACATTAAGAGAGGAAAAAAGAAAAACAAAAACAAAATAATGAAATAATTTGAGGACATTTTTTCCCTATACCCTAGAATTATAACAATTAAATGATGATTTAGTGTATTTTCCAAACATAAATGCTATGTATCTAGAAAAAAATATCCAAAATTTGAATGTATGGTGAAGATTTAATCAGAATGAATCTGATTCACACATTTCAAATTATGAATACTTTTCTGTATAGTTTTTTTTCTAAACACGTAGCATTGCTTGTTTTCCAAACCTTATCGATTGAATTGCATAATCCTTGGTGCAAACCTCAACAACCTATCCAAGGCATGGGGGGTGAACTTCCTTGCAAACAAGTAGCAAACATTGGTGCTATTCCCATTGTATTCACAATTGCTTTCGCTTCTCAACTTCTTCAAAAGCTCCACAGTCACATCTGTCCTAATGAACTTAGATGGGTGTGGACCTCCCTTAGACCAGTCTACCCATGTCAAAGTCCTATTTGAATTCATCTCCGAAAACCTCATGCTTACAAATGTTGGCAAGTAATGCTCATCGGCATAGCATGAACCCTTGCAATACTTTTGAAAAACAGAAAAATATTTTTCATCCGAAATGACCTCGAGGGCAAGATCTCGATCCATCTCAAACCATTGGGACCCCTTTCTCCAATCTTGGATTGTGATGGTGGGACCCATATGACGGTTATACCGGCCTTGGCCAACCGGGCCAGGTAGGTCATAGGCCTCTACAAAGTTTTGGGTGGAGTTCATTAGGTAAGAGTAGATGGTGGAGAAGTTGAAGAGAGGGATACATGCTTCTGAAAGGAGGACGAAACGCTGGTTAGAGAAATCGAGAAGAGCATTGGCTAGTAGGCGGCGTTCTGCTTCGATCATGTTGACGTTTCCCCATTCAACTTCCTACATTAGACACGGAAATTATATAAAATCAAGTTCATTAACGACTTCTTTCTAATCTAAGTAAAAGCTGGACCGTCCAGTCATGCAAGGAGGTTGGGTTACGTCAACTATTTATCTCATTTCACTTATGTGTGAAACTAACTCATAAAGCTTAAATCATGTTCATTTGACGTTTTAAGCTTGCACATGTGGCACGCCCTGAGATGTTTGATTGGATAGAATAATGATGTGCCATGAACTCCTTGCATAGACTAGATGGTCTAAATTTTGCTTAAACTGGAGAGAAATCAATCTCATATACCAATATTATACATAAATACAGTAACAAAACACTAAAAATATCCAAATAAATAAAATGTGTAAATTAAATATATTCTAAATGACACTTACAATATTTTAATCATTACTCATTATATCACATAGAAACAACCCACAAAATGTCTCTCTTTTGTGAAGAAACTTGGTTTTTTACAAAGACTTGGTGTAGACTAGTTATATGTGAAGGCAAATTATCTTTCATGTTGTCTTTTCTTTGTCTGTTGCTATTTCAATTGTGGATTCATCATTTGGACTGTGTATTAAATCCAATAACAAACAACCAATCATTTGCATATTTTTCATATTATGAAAGTTCATAAGGTAAGAAAATACCCAATTTTGAATTCCTATTTCATTGTTAGCTTGAATGTATTATGATGAAAATGGTGGCACAGTAGAACTGACAAAATTGTGGATCACCTAGAACAAGCCCAATACTGTGTGCTTCCCTGTACCCCCTACATCAGAGTTGTTCCCAAGTATCTCTTGAGACCTTGCATTGCGCCCTACTCCAATTCTTTTACTTGTATAAAAATTAATAATAGAATCGGATAGAATTCTTATATAGGTGAGACATTTATAAAAAGACAGACCCACATCATATCAGAGAGTTGTGTCCGATTGTGATCATCAATATTTGCTTTCTTAATTTTTTTTCAATTTGATTTCGAGTTTTTAAAAATAATTTTTGAATTTTTTATTTTTCATGTTTTTAAGTTTTGATGTTAATATTCTTTTAAAATTCTACTTTTTGAATTTGCCTAACTTAAATGCACTTAAAAAATAAAATATTTGTGAAAATATATTCAAAGAATTTAATAAATACATAAAAAATATTAAAATGTATTGGGTTTTTATATATTTTTATTTAGTGATTTTTTTTATAAAAAAAATCATAAATATTTTAGTTTTTAAATGTATGTAAATTAAGTGATATAAGAAAAATTGTAATAATATTAAAGATAGGTATGCCTTTCTTAGGGTTACAAAAATTAGGTTTTGCCCCCAAAAAGTTTAGGGTAGGGTAACCATTTTGCATGCTTCCCTAGAGTTGTAATTAATTTTTGGGCTCACAGTCCACCCAATTTAACCGTATATTATATAATAACACTAATGAAAAAAAAAAAATTTAAATCATGCAAATCAAAAGTTTCATTATATGGTTTACTATTTCAAAAATGTAAGTGTCACATATAAAATTTTTGTTTATAAATTATTTTTCAATATACAAACTCACAAATCGCACCAACTTTAGTAAGTACAAAATACAATTTATTTATTTTTTTTATAAAAGATTTAAAAAAAGATACGACACTGACGGTATTGCATTCATTATTGTTGGAGCCTCTACTCAGGAATAAGAATGCAGCGCTTTGCATTCATTGCGGATGGTAACACACTATACTCGGATATTATTTAACGGGAGTGCTAGTTATTTATTAATGTATATATATGAATATGAGTGTATCAATTAATATTATGTTATTATTATTGATTTTATTTATTATATAAATTATAAATACTCAAAATTTTTAAAATTATGCTACATTATTTGTTAGTATACTAATGAGTACATATAACATTATTCATTATTAATGGGAGATGATTCTCTCTGGTTGGAAACCCAATTAGAGGGTGCTATTAGGCTTTTATAGGCTCATTACGGAACTCATATTGATGATCTGAACCGTACAATATGTAAGGCTTGTCGAGTATTTCATCACTATAAAAAACATATTAATCGATTATCGATATATAGCCATTTGATTAAATCATATTTGTATTACTTACCATTTATACAAATGTGATCTGATCAAGTTCCTATCGACATCCGATCAATGTGAATTTTTGCAGGGATGAAGTATTCAACAAATCCTACATAATAAACGGTTCGGATCATCGATGCAGGCTCTATGATGGACCCATGAAGGCCCAACAGAGAAGCTTTTCCCTAATTTAATTGTTAATAAAAAAAAATTGAATATGCAAATGCAGCAAATAGAATTTAATTTTTTTATATTTGGTTTTAAATTTTTCCTAAATTTTCCATGGGAAGAATAATTAGAAATCTAAATGTAGAGTATTCGTCAACAATGCTTACAAATTTGAAACCCCAACAATGTTTATATGTAGTTTTACAACATGAGATGAGATGGATATTGTGTATGGTATTTATTTTTTTCATTATTTATTTTATTGTTTTGATTGTTTTTAACTATTTATTTTGGTTAAACTCATGTTCGTAGTTCACCAAACACCTTTTTTTTCCCTAAGAATTCCTTCTTGTGGAAGGAACGACTTTTCATTGACAGCCAAACATGTCATTAAACAAACACGGTAGAAAATAGCATTCACAATAAGGCAGCTAAAAAAGTGTATTAAAATGTGTTATATGTCAAAAAGTGATAAAAGTAAAGCTCAAAAATGTGTGTTAAGGCGTGTTAAGAGTTTGGTAATTTTAGAGAGAGAGCGGTAGTGCAATAAATTTACTAAGATATGTATTAAGACGTGTGTTAAGAATATATATATATATATATATATATTTATGTAAATAATAAATAAAATAAATAATAATTAAAAAATATAGTAGGCCCCACCCCACTGCACTGTCGATGCCCCCCTCTCTCTTTCTCTTCTCTTTTTTCTCTCACTCCCCCTCCTTTGCTTGTTAACTAAAAATTGTGGTGGTAAAAAAAAAGTCGGCCGGCTAAAATAAGTCTTTTTTTTTTTTAACTTGAAGGGTCCGGATATCTAGGAGGACGATCGGTTGGACATCTAAACAAATGACCCCACGATACTTCCCCACATCCCCCTCCTCTCTCTCTCACAAGCTAAAACGCTAACCACGGTTAACACACAATACTAACAACTGACACTAACACATAAGTTAGCAGCTCCATTACAACACAACATTTAGCTAGTCCATTATTGATGCTCTTACATTTAATAAGATTAATAATTTAAACTCATTTAAAAATTGAGAATTTTCATATTGCCTTGTTTATGTATTATCCAAGTGTCATTAGGGAAAGTTAATAAATAGAAGAGTAATGTTAGAGATTTTAAAAATTTTACTGAAATTTTTATCAAATATCTCATATGGATGTGCACAATGTGAATCCTATGTAAGTCGCATATCTATTTAAGATAATTAATAAAATTTTTGATAAAATTTTAAAATTTTTAACATTTTTGAATAGCGAATCACCCTGAGAGGAAAGACTTTACAGTTGGACCTTTGATTTTTGTCCCTATCCGTTCTAAGGCCAGTTCGGAAATCGATATTTTTGATAATTTTTTAATTATTTTATAAGGTGAGATGACTTTTTCTAATTGTATTGAAAAACCAAAATAAATAATGTTTATAATTTATTTTTTAGTGGATTTTTTTATTTTGTATTAACTTTTTTTCTTTTTTTTTTATTTTTTATTTTTAACTAAAAAGTTATGCCGCCAAACAATCCCTACATGACTAGGTCATATTCATATGCCCTCAATGCCGTGTACATCAAGTGCATGGAATGATAGTTGTATGTTAATTCATATAGGCTTTCCTAGTCGGTCTTTCTTTCTTTTTCTTTTTTTTTCTTTTTTCTTTTTTTTTTTTCTTGTTTTGAAGGAAAATTCTGAAAAGAAAGGAAAATCCAATGAGAAAATGGAGTTAAATCTTCCCTAAGCTAACATCGACCTAGTTAATGTCTGTCTATGTAACTGAAACCTCAAAGAATGCACCCAACAAACATAAATTATTAAATAATGAAGTCAATAAATAAGTTTACGTGTTTTTAGTCAAGACAATCTAGTTTAATGTTCAACACAAAAACAATAAAACAAAATAATAAAAAAAATTAATTTAATCAAAACTCTTCATTTAATTAATAGCTAATTATTTGGTAGATTAAACTTACACATATACACACATACAAAAGAAAATATCTACAGGTGTACACACCATGGCATATGGGTATATTACACAAATCAAGATTTTTTACTGAATGATAAATGAGATAATTTAGAAATAAGGAAATTTTGGTAAAGTTTAGTAAAAGTGTAAACTTTATATAATCGAATAGATAAATTATAAAAATAAAAAAATACACTGACCTTACTGGGAATTCGCCGGCCACGGAACACAGAGTTTGCAGGTTCAGATTGATTGAAAGATGGATCGGAGTGAACGTAAATCGAGTAAAGCCCTTCATGGCCTTTGAAAAACTTGTGCCACAGTGGTGCTAATAGAACTGGACCTCTAGTCAAGAACATGAAGGCAATCTTGGGAACCCGGTTGAACGGGTATTCATGAATTTTGGGAGTCAATGAGGCTCTCCAAAGCAATTCTTTGTCGTTCATGTCGTGCATTAGATCTTCTGGAAGCTGTAGATATTGTTTTAATCCGATCCGAGCCGTGTTATTGGGAGTCTTGGTGGTTGGTGGTGGAGGTGGCGGTGGTGGTAGTGAGAGTGAGAGAGAGAGAGGTGGTGGTGTTGATGATGTTGAAGCTGAAAAAGAGAACTGGGTGACTTGTAGATTTAATGACATGTCTTTTAAGTAGAAGCTAATTATGATTCCAAAAGTGAGGCCAAAGACAAAGAAAATAAAGTAAGAAATGAGATTGGCTAGGTGTAGTCGAGCATTGAAGAGCTTGGTGGATGAGAATAATGGGTTTTGGTATTGGTTCTTCATCGTTTAGAGAGAGAGAGAGAGAGAGAGAGAGAGAGAGAGAGGGAGGGGCAAAGTCTTTTCAAAAGATTATAGAAATACTTATAAGAAAATCTGTAATTAATGTTTTTCTATTTTGGGTACAACAAAATATATATATATATATATATAATATAATATAAAACACCTTTTACTTATTTCAAAACATTTTTTTACCAATTCAAAAACTTTTTAATTATTTTTTAAACACATTTTACTATAATTACTAAATAATGCACTAAAGGACAAAATGGTTAACGTTTATTTCAATCAAATGGTAACAAACAAGAAGTTAAAATAAATTGAGCAAATTTCCAAATACATATAATTGCATCAAAAGATTCTATCACCCTAACCATTGCCTATAAATTAATTAACCAACCTAGAAAATAAAAGATGGACCATGAAGATGGATCAAGGATGTACCTCAAACAAGCTATCAAAAAAGATTATCAACAAGTTTGTAAAAGAGAGAGTTCTAGAGAGAGACAGAGAGAGTTAAAGAGAGGATGGTCCAAATTGAATGTGAGCTGTGTGGCATGTCTGTCTAAATAGGGTTGGCTAGTGGGCTTTTGTAAACGACGGCTTTTGAACTTTCAACCATTCATTCAAACACCGTGTTCTAATTGCATATATATATGTATGTATTGTAGTTTTCTCAGTTATAAAGTTAATTTATTCACTAAAATTAAGTTTATAAAATAATTAATTTATTTGTTTATTCTAATATTTTTTTTAAAAATGATTGGACTTCTCTCAATTGAAATTTATACTTGACCATGTCATCTAGGCCCGTGGAACCTATTACGGGTTATGTTTCGATAATATAAACCGTTCATTTTATAAGATTTTCCATGTATATCATGGAGTTGAAGTCACTGCTATGCAGCTTGCACAACAGTGACTGTTGTGCGGCTCATGCCAATTATTTAGGATTTTATTTTCATCATTCAAACCGTTCAATTTTTAGAAAATATCGATTAGAACATACTTGTAAAATATCAAGTTGATCAGATATCGATAAACCTTTCATTAACTCACATTTGTATTCAGTTTAATACTTACATATTTATTTTATATATATACAAATTCGAGTTGATGAAGGTCTATCGACATCCGATTAACTTGATTTTTTATAAGTATGTTCTACTCAATGTTCTTTAAAAATTGAAAGGTTCAGAAGATGAAAATAAAGTCCAAATAATTCTCATGAGTTACACAACAGTCACTGTTGTGCAACCCGCACTGCAGTGACCCCTAGCTCGTATATCATCTATTGAAAAAATTAAATCAATCCAATAATTGTATCATTTTCATTTTCTAGTATTTTTCCTTAAAAATTAGACGACAAATGTGTTTATGAAATAAATCTTTAATTGACTTAATTTTTTTCATAAATGATATATACGAAAAATCTTACGAAATAAATTTAGATTATTGAAACAAGAAAATTCCAACCATTTTTTGAATGGAAAAGTAGACTTCTGAAGAAAATAAATTTATCAAATGAGGTAGGACTTTCTTAATGGGGTTTTTTAGAACTGACTTTTTGTCACAATCAAACGAAACATATATGAACTCATTTTTTAATTTTATTTTTAAACATTAATGAATAAATTTAATGTGGATTTTATAAATCTGAGAGTCATTGTCATTGGGTAAATAAATAAAATTATATAAAATGGAAGTGTCTTTTATAGCAGGTCACTTCCATGAATGAGCTGAATAGAAGATTGAGAAGATAGAAAACCACCGTGTAATCAGCCATTGATTACTATTATATCATTAATGTCTCCGGGTCCCTAATTCCACGTTCTTTTACTCTCTTTTTTACTATTTTATTGTTATTAAAAAAATAAATAAATTATAATAAATCTCTTTAAATTATGATTCATTTACATTCTATCTTCCTGAATTTCAAAACCCAACTGCTAACCCTTCAAGGTATTATCTTATTACAGTTATATTTTTTTTTTGAATTTTTTAAAAAATTTATAAAAAATTAAATCATGTGTAAATCATATGACACATTTATTAATTCTTTAAGACAATAATATCCTTTATTAATTATTTTATGACAATAATATTCATATTTGAGATTTTATTTATATTTTGTCTCTCTTAGTTTATAATAAAGTGCAAACGAGATCAGTAGATGAAGATATTATTGTTTTAAAAATTTAATAAATGTGTTATATATTTTATACATGATTTGGCAATAAATTTCTAATAAAATCTTAATGAAAAAATTAACTGTAGTTTATTTATTTTTTTAAATGTGAAAAGTACATTATTGGGTATGTGATGTTTAACATGTATCTGAATTAGCTGTCAAATTTCTCTTTTGAAAAAACAATTGAAAATGCTTTTTTGATATGCTGTTATGGCCTCCATTTTCGACGCAAAAAAGAATAAATATCACATGACTCCTAATTGTAAAGAACATGGTAAGAAGCTTCCATTATAGAAAGGTCAATTATGACAACATGAGAATGGACAAGTTCAATAGATTCCTCTCTCCATTCCTTACTTGCACCATTTCCAACACCGCTTAGACATTTTAACTATGGAAATGACACATGACTCCCTTTCATATATTTTATTTTATAAATCCTCATATTTCAGACTATAGTTTAAATCGCTTATCTTATAAATTTAATAATAAAAGTAAGGTGTACAATAACTTAATTTTGTCGAACATTACTAGAGACATAAACAAAAAACAACATTTTATATATAGAAAGAAAAAAAAGACGATAATTATATCTTCAAACTTGAAGTATCTATTATATAAAATAAATTGTAATTTATTCATTTATTTATTGATATGCAATGAGCTTGATGTTTTGTAAAAATGGTATTCGCTATGAGATTTAGAATATCAATAGTTCAGATCATCGTTGTAAATCCAAAGTGAAGCCACAAAATAAAGTATATAAAGAAGTATGGAGGATACTGATAGGAAGAGAAGTGATTCCCTTTATGCATTTAAAGATTATCATAAAATATATATTTTATTTTACTTATTCACCTTTTCATATTTATATTTCAATCATACTCTTTATTTGAATTATTCATTTAAAAACTTCTCACTTTATAATATACCACATTAGCAACAAATATGAGGGAAAGAATCATAAAGGTCAAATATATTTTCTCTAATTTTTGAAGATTAGTTGCATTTATCTACTGAATTTGAATGGCAAGCTCATATCATAAAGTCCTATTATACAACCAATAGACCAAAGACACAGATTGTGGATCTACTTACCAAAAATAAAAAATAAAAATTCAATTACATGCAATTTAGCTGATGAAATTTATTGAAAGAAAATGTTTCCCCTGTTTGGGTACAAGTTATTCCAGTAATTTTTTGACTTTTTACAAAAATAAATACAAAAAAATAGAGAAAGTAATGTGACAATTTATAATAACTTTTTGACTTTTTAATTAAAATTAAAAGTTGCCAAACGAGGTGAATTTGGGTACAAGTTATTCAATTACATGCAATTTAGCTAATGAAATTTATTGAAAGAAAATGTTTCCCTTGTTTGGGTACAAGTTATTCCAGTAATTTTTTGAATTTTTACGAAAAGATATACAGAAAAATAGATAAAGTAATGTGATAACTTATAATAGCTTTTTGACTTTTTAACTTGTTGGTTACATATTTTGTATAAGCCAATTACAATTCAACGCGTGGCAGAATAAGGGCAATACGGGAAGACTATTCAAGTCTTCGATCGTGATCGTACACGTGACAGTTAATATTGGTTCTTGCAAGATCTGCGTAGCACTAGATCAGCAAAGAGATGCAAGGTGATGTGGCTTCAACGGTTACTCACATTCAAATTTAAAATTGGAAGGGAAACCTAACTGCAGGTAATGGCATAGTGGAGCTAACTATAAGGCAACATGATCAGCGATCATGAAGGAGTGATTCGACGGTTAGAAGTGCAGTTCGATGGTTATCCTTGAGAAGTATAAATAGCAGAGAAGGCCACAGAAAAACCCCCAGACTCAGATCCATAAAACCAGTTTTATCAACTTTATTTCTTTTCCAGTTTTACATTTCCTGCTCTTTACATTGCTGTACTTTAAAATTTCTGCACTGCACTTCGTTCATAGGAGTAGTTTCAAATAAATTGTTGTTGTATACCTCTACGAGGCTGAATTGGATCATTGTAAGTCTTTCATTTTTACTTAATGAAATGTTGTAATTGTTCTTTATTTAATCATTGCCAGTTAATTCTCCTAAGTAAAGCCATCAGTAAAAGTCCTCTTTATTGAGGCTGAAAAAATTAAAACACAATCGTCTGATAATTGGTTGGCAATTAATATTCTGTAAGAACTGATTGATCCTTACTGGCACGCTCACAATTACAAAAATAACCTTCGAAAGACAAAAAAATCAACATATATTTTTGGCACGCCCAATGGGACTAATTGAAATGGCTAGACGTAGGAGACAAGGAGAAAATGAACGCTTGGAAGAAGGCGTGGAATGAGAGGTAAAAATGCCTAAAACAGAGGATAATGTGATAATACATCCTGTGGAAACACTCATTTTATCAGAACCTATGGTCGAACAGACCAGCACTTCGGAACAAGTACCACATGTTCATAATATTGGACGAGGCCAAGGAATTGGACCATCTACTATTCCATCTACTCAGCCAATGAATCCATGGGGTGGCCTAGTAGATGCCATGGGACAGCAGTTAATAAACACAATGGAGAGATGGGCAACATCCTTTTTGGATCGAATGAATGCTTATCAACCAACTAATGTAAGGCATATAGAGGAAAATTCAAATGTCCCTCAGCAAAGATTGGCTAAAGACAAATAGCCTATGCAGAGTAATGGGCATACTAATGGTCAAACTAGTAACCAAAATCATAAAAGACCACCACTTCAGTCTTGGTATGAGCCTCTTTTGAGGCCTATGGCAAATCAAAATGCCTTATTATTTAACAGTGAAGCCATGTAAATTGGTGGATCTAGTCCAACACAAGATAATTGTGTAAGGATAGTTCCAAATTGCATGTTCGAAGCCATACCTGGCACAAGGGGGTTCACTAATCCTTTGTTCGAATTTATACCTAGGGGGTTAGAAGGTTTTCCTACAACTAGAAGAGACACAATATCTATTCCAGTACCTTTCGCAGGTCCTTTTGCAGGACAGGCTCAAAGAGGTCATCCATACCCCAACAGTAATCAGCACCACAAGGGCAACCAGTCCCAAACATACCACGCTATGGACCAAGAGGACCCCAAGCATAAGGTTGTCCACCAAATCCTGTGTCTGTTCCTCCAGTAGTGGTTCAGCATAGTGGCCGAACCAGCACAAAATATGGTCCCTAGGGACCAAATTGTTGACATTGTTAGAGAAATATGTAGGCCAATGGCTCGGGAGGTTCAAACTCCTGTGTACAGGAAACCGTACCCAGAATGGGTAGATAGGGTACATGAATACCCAAGAGGTTTCAGGATACCAGATTTTGCCCTTTTTTATGGGAATGGAAACCAGTCAACAGTTGAG